ACCCCAATCACTGCTGATAGGATGGATGTTCCCTTGCACACTTAAAACCTCAAACATCACTGATAGGATGGATGTTCCCTTGCACAGCTCAAACCTCAAACACTGCTGATAGGAGGGATGTTCCCTTTCATATTTTAAACACCAAACACTACTCCAGAGCCACAGAAACCCTTTGGGCATTCCCAGGGATAGAAATTCCATTCCCTCCAGGACAGGCTTTTGTTCCTAAGCGTTCTCCTTGCCTTCTCTCCCTGTTTCCCTGCAGAGAGAGCCCTGGGAGCAGCCCTCACCCGAGAGCCTTGGCCAGCCTGACAGTGCCTGCTCAGAGCCCCTGCAGGCGCTCCCTGCCACCTCCAGCTGCCTCTCCCTGCCCGAACCCGGAGCTGCTTCCCCGTTCCGAGGCTCAGGCTGGAGCCCAGCCCTCCCTGGAGCCCAGCCCTACCCTCTGCACCCCCTTGAAGACGCCCACTACTCCCCCAGCTACGCTGCCACCTCGCCCTACAGCCTGTCCCCGTTCATGGCCGTGGCCAGCGAGCCCTCCAGGATGAGCCACCTGTGCCCAGAGCCACCCTCGGAGCCACCACACCTTCCCGAGCACTCTGCCTGGGCCAAAGAGGATGGAGGTGCCCTCTGGGGGACTTATGAAGGCAGGAGAACTTATTGAGGAGAGAGAGAAGAGCTGGAGGAAAGAAGAACCAGACCGTTATAAAGCAAATTTTACCCTCCTTCCTATGGTGGTGTTCGCAGGGGTCCCAGGATGAGGGAAGAGATGAGAATCTTGACTCCATCTTTCAGAAGGCTGATTTATTATTTCATGATACATATTATATTAAAAGAAAATGATATCTTAAAACTGTACTAAAAGAATAGAAGAAAAGATTTCATCAGAAACCTAGAAAAGAATAAAATGATAATAAAATCTTGTGACTGCTCACAGCCTCGACACAGGTGGCTGTCGTTGGTGATCAAGTAAAAACGATTTCACATGTTAAGTAAACAATTCTCCAAATCACATTCCAAAGCAGCAAAATGTGGAGAAGATGAAGCTTCCCAGCTTCTCCGAATAAAAGATCCTAATGAAAAGATTTTTCAGAAAATATGCCTGTAACACCTTCCTAAAACTGCTCCTTCAAGCGTGATGCTTTGTGCTCTGGTCAGAAACTCGATCACTGGACACAGCACACTGAGCCTTCTGGTGCCTCCAGAAAGGGATTTCTCCCAGCCCCACGAGTAAAATACTCAGCCTGAAAAACCACAGTAAAATACCAAGTTAAAACCCTCTGTGCTCTGCAGTTTTTTTCTGCAACAAGGATCCCTCCTCAGAGGGCTTTGCCAGCCTAAATGGTCTGGGGGCTCTGGAGGGCGTGGGCACTGCCCTGCCTGCTGCCCTGTGCCCGACGAAGCCTCACCATCCCTGACGGGCACCAAATACTCCATCCCTGCCACCCCTTTTACCCTGAATGAGCTCACAGCACATCCACATCCACCTGCTGTGCTGGCAGTGCCAACGGGACCAGAACCCAGCCCCAGGGGCATCCAGGTGGCCTGGCAGTAGAAGTGGGAGCGATAGCCAGCCCTGGGGACATCCAAGTGGGCTGGTAGTGCCAATAGGACCAGCCCCGGGGGCATCCAGGTGGGCTGGCAATGCCAATGTGAGTGGTATCCAGCCCTGGGGGCATCCAGGTGGGCTGGCAATGCCAATGGCACTGGTAACCAGCCCTGGGGACATCCAGGCGGGCTGGCAGTGCCAATGTGAGCAGTATCCAGCCCCAGGGGCATCCAGGTGGGCTGGCAATGCCAATGGCACTGGTAACCAGCCCCAGGGGCATCCAGGTGGGCTGGCAGTGCCAACGGGAGCAGTATCTAGCCCTGGGGACACCCAGGTGTGCTGGCACTGCCAATGTCACCGGTCGCCAGCCCCGTGGCCACTAGAGGTAGCTCTGCACACGCGAACACCGCCATGGAGCCCTCCCAGAGCAGCACACCCTGCACTGTCCCCAGAGGGGTCACTCCCTTCGGCCCAGCTCACCCCTAAACCTGGCACCGCCAGCAGCAGCAGCAGGAGGAGACTCTGGAACATTCCAGCCCCAGGGAATGTGTGGGGATGAGGAGATTTCAATCCCTCCTTGCCTTTCCTCCTTAAATCCTGGGGACTTTGAAGCTTTCCCAGCCCCTTCCACTCTGAGTGGCAGCTGTGGAGCCTCCAGGGCTGGCTCTGCCCAGCCAGAGCTGTTCCCCCATCCCTTCAGGGTGTGCAGCTCTCCTGGCACCACATACAGCCCTGTCCCCCCAAACCTGAGCCCAGTTTGAACTTTTTCCACCCCACAGCTGTCAGCATTGGTGGGCTGAGCCCCAGTGTCCATCTGATCTGTTCCTTGTGCCAGGTGAGCAGGGCCACCAGGCCATGGTGGCTGTGCTGCCCTCAGGCCCTGGGCAGAAGCAGGGACAGGGTTTGGAGCTGTCTTTGAGGTGTTTGACCCACTCAG